GCTTTTATTACTAACAACAAACAACGACTGCCCACAGGCTGACACTCTCCCACTAATGTAAAACATAAAAAATAATCCTTGCCTGTGTTTACAAATAGAGCAAAGCAAAACATTTGTTTCCAGAAGCCAGTTTCACAAAAACCTGATAGGAAAATAAGGATGACACTGTCAGTAACTTAGTCCATGGCCTATAATAAAACACATGCATACAGGTTTTTGCAGATATGAATAGTGAGAGGTTCTAGCACAGATCTATTTCACCTAATATTTCCCCCAGTCAGCAGCAAAAGCCACCACCAAGAGGGAAAACAGTGCTATTCAGAAAAAATATTTAAACTTACTTCCAGGAAAAATCCTGATATATTGATGACTTAAATACATTGTTCTATGTATATAATCCCTAGGGCTTGAAGACCTTATAGAAAAGGTAGGAATTCTCTCTCTTCTTCAGGATACATTTCCAAAAAACATGCTTTCCTTTTTTGTGCAGGCTGCTCTAACCTAAACGCAAATATTTCTGAGAGGTTAGAGAAGCCACATTCTTTGGGAAGCATGATTTCACAGCACATGGAGATGGAACGAACTTTGGAGGCAGAAGCATCCTTCAATGCACTGTCCAACTGGGCCTTGTCTGTACTATAAAATGTTACTATAAATGTTATAACTGTGAGCAAGACAATGATGAGAAAATCTGTCCTAGTCTACATTAATTGCTAAGTCATGGTCAGTACTGTGCAATACAGTCTTATTATTCACAGCGGTATTCAAACAGGATAACACTGTGTAGTCTGAAAAAAGCCTCAAGTGATAGGATAGTAGTAACGGGTGCCCAGGAGCATCCAAGACCCTCATCCAACCCTTTACAAAAATAATCTGAACATCTGTCAGCAGTAACTTGTGAACTTGTTTTGGGAGGCTAAAAAATATTTCTGCTTTTCAGGGCTTTTCTTTCATTCCTCTAGGAGAAAATAAATGCAAAATTGATAAGACAACTGTTCAGTGTCTTAAGTTCTCTATGGGTGACCTTCTGGTAAAAGAGCAGCCACAATATAGTTCTAAGAAATTATGCAATTTTATGTGACGTCCTCAATGTTTAGTGTTCATTTTAACAGAGATTATTGCTAAGGATCCAATTCTCCAAATAAGAAATAGGGTATATCTCTTAATGCCTTTAAGATTTGAACATAATGAAACACAGAACTCCACTATTCAAGTGTCAAATCTATTTCTAGTTAAATTTTCAAAAGTACTAAACAATATAGGCATCCCAAACTTATTTGCTAATGTGACTTAAACATTTCACCACTGTGTCCAAAGTACCCCTTCAAAAAAATGAGTGGATTTTCTTCAAACATTTCAATATAATATTAGCTTTTTCAGAAGAATTTTCAACTCTCTTTGGAACTACCCCATTTCTTTCCACTTTCGTGGCATTTTCCGATTAAATGCAAACAATTGCTAGGTTCTCCAGTCTCTTTCATTATCACACAGGCCTCTGCCACATGTTACATATATTACGCAACTAACTGGTTAAACCACGCAATAAATTGAGACTGGCCACATGTACAAAGTAATTGTGATGCCATAAGAAATACCAGCTATAAAAAGAGCCGATCAGCTACAAAGTTAGTGCTTGAAAATATATAACAACTTTACTGCTCGTTTCTATCCAGCTTTAATCTGAACATGTGGCAGGGCCCATCCTTTGATATCATCATCACTATAGGCTGCTTTTGACAGTTAATGTCTAACTTTCCCCCTTGCTCAGGGTAATCCAAATGAGTTATACCATAGTAGCCAATAGAATTCCCAAATTCCATCAGATACTTATTTCTTATAAGGCTGCAATCTGCCTCCCTCCAGCTACACTGCTCAGAGACCAGGGAAGCCAATGAGATAGATGGGGCAGCAGAGACTGTGGGGGCTGGTTTTGAGGTGGGGTGAGATAGTGGGTAGCAGACAAATCATCCCACTGAAAGGGACTTTAGAAAAATGTTAATTAGCAGAGAATGTTTTGACAGGTTGTGGCAGGGATGCAGATAGTGGTGAGGTGAGCTCACAAAGAGGCTTGCACAGAATAAATGGAGTAGGGTGAAAAAAGAAAGGGGGGACTTCAAGACCAGTAGCCAAATGCAGGGGCCATGAAGAGTTACTTGTATTCCCTGGCATGCAAGCTATATGCAGAACAGCGATTCCCAAACGCAGTAATTTTCTCTTGCTTTTTCACCTCTGCCTCCAGCATAGATGTGACATTCTTGTTTGACTAAAATTTTCAATAGCACTGAAAAGCCAAGGATTTAGGTTCCTAAAATACAAATTGTATGGAATTTAGGTGCCTCATCCTAAATAGCTACCTAATGGTTTTCACTCATGAGAAGCCAAAATTGTCTAAGTTTGTGCCAGAAAACTTAGGTTGAAATTGCACATTACAATTATATATTATTAAGAGCACTTAAAAGTTAAAAGATCACACATTTAGGCCCATTAATTAGTGCTAAGTGCCTTTTAGACAGCAGCTTAAAGTTACACCACTTTGGATATGGATTATCTTTAAGCTATTCTACCTAGCTTGAGTTCAATTAATTTCTGGGTGTTCACCAGAGATAAAGCCACCAATCTGCAGTCCTCCATTATTCCAGGAGGAACTGTTCCCAGGTGGACTAGTTATCATCCAGGACGCTAAAGCCCAGGACTGACAACTGGAAACATATGGACAACAGGTGGGTGGGGATGGGGTGAGTAGGAAGAGAAGGAAAAGGGAGGATGGGATATACGGAAGTCAGGGAGGTAGGGGGTGGGTGGGAAGCTGCCAGACTGCTGCCCCCTTTCCCTGCAAATCGCCCCTCCAACCCTCAAATCACCCTCCACACTCCCCAGATCAAACCCTTGCCACCCTAATTGCCCCTCTGCCCACAGCGATCTGGGGATGGATGGGTCAGCTTGGGACTGGGGAGGTGATTTTGGGGTAGAGGGGCTGACTGTGGGGTAGAGAGGGAATCCAGGGGCTGAAGGGGCAGAGGGGTGATCCAAGTGGTACAGGGGGGGCCCTTCCCCACTTCCTCCCATAGCCAACACTGTGGCTAGAGCCTGCAAGCAGAGCAGGCATGGAGCAGACTTACAGCCCCAGCTCCCTGCTCACCAGCCCTCTAGCACTAGGTCTGAGCAGTAAACATGAGAGGGTATTAATCCTGAACATGTGACTGATCACTAGCACTAGTTAACCTTAACAAAAAACAACATTCTTTAGAATTAGCACTTGCTACCTCTAATATGTATTCTCACCCTTACTTAGGTAACTATGTATGTGTGGTTACCCAGGACCCAAATTGCCATCAGCCTGGCTTAGCTGAGTGCCTCATTGCTTACCCCTTGCCTACAATTTCAGATTCACTAACTAGCCCTCTCTGTACCTCAATGGTTCTAACCCTTTTCAGGCTTGAGGCCCCCCTTTAGAAAATGACAGTTCTTAGTTTTCACTTCTTTTTTGACTACAGAAAAAATAATAGTGCAGTCATCTGTTGCAAAGAACTCAGAAAGACCACAACAGATCAAAATGCTTTTGATGCCATGGATTCTTATTTGAAATCTCTTGGTTTATCTTGTGTATCATGTCTACACACCTAAGAGTGCTAACATTGTGTAGCACCCGTAGTACCCTTAAAAGGATCCCAAGACACCCCAGGGTGCCACGAAACCCTGGTTGAGAATCCTGTACCTAAAACTCTGAGGGGTACATTACAGTACACATGTTCAGAGCATGCCTATCATAGCCCAGCAGCTCTAAGCACATCTGAAAACAAAGCAGCCACCATCACATTTATTTAAAAAAAACACAGGCAGAACTGGAAAGTAGTACTGTACAACTTATTATATAGTGGCTTAGTGCAAGAGTCAGCAACATTTTGGGAGTGGGGGACCACTTCCAATTCAGATGCATCACTGCTACCATAGCTGTAGTCACAACTTCCTTCCCTACTTGTCTCCATGGCTTCTCCCTGCCGCAGTTACAGCAGCATCTGCAAAGTACCCTGCACCTGAAGCCCCTCACAGACGACCTCTACTACTGAAATGCCACCAAAATTCCTCTCCTGACAATCAGGGCAAAAGCCCCCCAGTTTCCATGGGCTAGATAAAATGGCTGCACTGGATGGATCCAGCCTATGAACATTATGTTGCCCACCTCTGGCCTAGTGGTTGAAACATCTGCCAGGACATAGAAAACCTTCTCAGACTGAGGGGACTCCAACACTTTTCCTCCTTTCAACATCCTCACCACTAGGTTAGAATAAAGGCTATGATGAAGGGACCCTCCCAGCTCTCCTAATTAAACTGTGCAAGATTTATAGGGCCACAAAGAATGCAGGCAAGAGGAAGCCTGATTCAGCAGCTTAGTGGTGTAGGTACCCCCCAAGAGCAGGGAATTCTGGGTGGTTTTGGTTCCTTCTTCCAGGCCCTTTTATGCATTTTTGCATTCAAGAGTTATTGGACATAGATGTCTAAATCCAGGAAGTGGTTTTGGATTGCAAATCCAAGTCTCACCTAGGAACCAAGTGGAGGAAAAAGGCAAAATTTGAGTCATACCCCTCTCTTCAGCCTTTTTTCTCAGCTGATTGCTGCTCAGCATGATGGTTTTGCAAAATCTCATTCCTACATGCCTAAATCAGCCTATTTACATTACAGAGAACTTAAATACCAAACTCATGCTTATATAGTCAACTCCTGGAGTTAGGAATGGTAGAGATGTTGAGCATTACCCTTTTTGGAACTGGCTGTAGATGACTTAACAACCGAAGTCCCATACCCAAATGTATTTGCAAGCCTGTGGCCACTTAGAAGTCTTTTGAAAATTTCAACTTGCATCTTCTGGCATATACCGAGTTAGTATAGGAACAAATTATTTCATTTAAAGTTGGTAACATTTAAAAATAAATTTAAACCAAACTTAAAAAAAAAAAAAGGGATTATGACTTTTGCATAGTTGTTGTTCTCGGTATACTTACCCAGGATTATAAAGCATGACAGCTGAGAGGTTCTCACAAGATTTTGAAAGATCTGTCATGGACAAGCTGAAGGAAGACAGCAGTCCACTCTAACAACAGAGAACATAATGAAAATATTAAAGAGCCATTGCTATGCTTACATACATATAATTTTTCCCACTTGACAAACATGAACTATTTTGATATGAAACAGGGCAAAAAACAAAAGCTAAAGCAGTCAAGATATAGATATTTTAGATATAAAATTGTGAAAAGATTTAAATTCCCCAAGTACTCATTTAATCTTACCTTTCTTTTTTCCCTCAGTTTGGCAGCTTCTTTGGGATGATTAAAGCGGAACATATTGGTTCTCCCAAGTAATATAACAGCACCTGGCAAGATAAAACGCATGCGCGCACACTATGTTATTGACAGCATACTGTACCAGGAGATGCCAAATAATTTTCTCAGTCACTGACATGAAAGTATCGGCTTCTATAAAGATGAGCAAAAAATTGAAAAACCATATTTTGACAACTAAGCTTTATAATGATCCGTAGTTAGGTCTGCATTAAAGAAGGGTTATAAGTATATAGCTTATTCCTCTTTGCTATTATATAGAATACATACATTTTTTAGAAATGTATAATCCAGTCATGACTGGATGCTTTTAGCCAGTGATAAGTAGTGGAAGCTGTAGTAGGAGATTCCTCACACTGCTTTACCTATATATGACCCAAATCTCTTTCGGAAAGACTAGTTCTGTAGATAGAGGGCTTCCTTCCTGAAAGGTGCCAGTGCCTGTCTAACTCAAAAAGTCAGCACTTAAATGTCACAGCAACGTCCTTCAAACACCAGTGACCTGAGCCAAATTTTTATCACCTACTTTGAAGTTAAAGGCTAGGGACAGACATTCAAAAAGCCCAAGCCTGAATTGATCAAATCTTTGCAGGTTAGTCTAACTTGCAGAGATTGAACTGATTTGCAAGTGGATAGACATTCACTTTTGAATCAAGAAATGCAGGCACATGTCTGCAGTGGCTCAGGCTAGAAGCTGGGGGGCACAAGAGCCAGGCCTCGGCAGGACACTATGATTAGGGAGGGGCTAACACTCCCACCCTGCCCTGCACAGTCCCTAGCCAGGATGTGCCTGAAGGGGAGGGGGAAGTAGCTGTTGCCAAGCTTCCCCACACTCCTCAGGAGGCAGGGAGTGTTGCCAGCCCACAGCCCCTGGCTACCACTCTGAGGTCAAGTGGGGATGGGGAGAGGGAGGACTGCTTGTGTGGACTGTATGCATCTGTTGATGATGCTGAGTTTTTCAATCTCCCTCTCCCTGCTTCTTCATCCTGTCTGCAGCAAACTGAAAGGCACTGTATTCGTTGCAAACCAGGTCATTTCTCACACCTCTCTGTCCCCTCTTGAATGCTGACAAATTGCAGCCTTTGAAGCAAGCAGCAGGCAGCTTATCAAAACACAAAACTTATCAAGCTCATCAAGAAAATAAAAGCCTCTCTCATTAGTTCAAGCTCTTCTTAAACAGCTTTTTCCAAGACAATTATAAGGAAGACATTACCATTTGACCTGTTGATTAATTCCAAAAAGCTCTAAACAGACACCACTCTGCCTGCCTTTGTTTCAGTGAAATTAGAGATATACACACACAGACACCTCTCAGCATTAGCTAGCATGGGGGTGGCGTGGCGATGATGGCAGGGGTCCAGGCCACTGAGGTCCCTGCTGTGGGAGAGCAGGGGGATCCCTGCTTGAGCAGCAAGCAAGGGGAGCGTGGGGCAGGGGGCAGCCAGGTAGACTAACTACCGTGCCTGCAGTTTCCACCCCCTCCTCAGCCAGCCGAAGCTGGCTAGGGAGGAGAGGGGAGGGGCCAGTCCTGCTCTCTAGAGCAGATAGCGCAGCCCAGGGCTGAAAAGCATGCCGGGATGCTGGGGGACTCTGATTTAAGTTAAATCAGGAAGGGGTCTGGGACAGAAGTTTATCTTAAACCAGTTTTGGCCACTTTGAAACTGGTTTATGTGCACAGAACTTAGGTTCCATTACAGGTTTAAACCAGTTTCTGTTCACTTAAACCAATTTATGTGTAACTTCTGTCCCTAGCCAAAAGGCCTACTATCCCATCATTTCTGCCTTTTGCCATTGTGACTTTGGAGGAAAGAACACCTAATACTGAAACTCAGCATTATCCAAAACTGAATCATTTCACAAAACATGTTTCAAAAACTGTAAAGTGAAACACTCCAAATTATTCAGTAAATAATTAAATTCATAAAATGCAACTTGTACTTAATTAGAAATGAAAAAGAATGTACTTTCTGGGCAATTATATAGTGGCAGGATGATGATACCAGGTTTAATCCTACCATAATAAAAAATATATTAGCATTCTTCATCTTACAGACATGGCAAAATAGCGTTTTCTCAGATAAGCATGAGTACTACACATTTAATAGGGAAGTACCTGCTATAGTTCTCCTGGGGAAGGCTAGAACCAATGGATGCAACCTCCTGTAAGGCCGCTACAGGCTTAATACCAGGAAAAACTCCTTCACAGTCAAGGTGTCCAGACTGTGGAATAAACTCCTTCCAGAGGTGGTGCATTCACCTACCCTGGAGGTTTTCAAGAGGAGACTAGACAGTCACTTCGCTGGGGTCAAATAACCCGAGGTGTCTTCCTGCCTACAGTGGGAGGTGGGGGTGGGGGGTGGGGGGGAGGGGCTGGACCCAATGATCTGCAAGGTCCCTTTCAGCCCCTAACAATCTATGAATCTACTAAAGGGTTCCACATTAAAACTTGTTGAATTCTGTTATACTTCACCCAAACAAGGCTTTGTCAGGATGAAATTCTTCTTTTGGATGTGAAATTTCTATTTTATTAGCTTAATTAAAAACATGCACCGAACTGAAGATACAATTTGGTTTATATTACAATCACAATTGATCCACTTTCTTAATAATTATAAATAAAAATCTAGGCTCAGTGAAATACTGATCCCAGTTAAATCAAAGGCAAAACTCTCATTGACTCCAAAAGTCCCTTACTGGCGTCTTCCCTGCATCCAAAATGGCTCTATCCTCATTCTATATTAAATCCATGGTTACAGTATTTAAATTAGATGATCTGGACTTGAAATGTGAATATACACTGATAATGGTTAACATAGTTATACAATTAAAATAAGATCTTGACACTGGATATGCTGATCTGAACTGATCTTTTAATTTGCATAAGTTTCTTTCCAGACTATTAAGAAATGTTTAAGTATATTATGCCTGGCTACTTAGAAGACCATGGGTATCATAACTTGTAGAATTTCCATGTATTATTAAGGTAAGCATTCATAACAGGGTTTTAACTTGCCATTTATTATCTACACTGCATGCCAGGGGTTGTCAACCAGGGGTACACACATCCCCGGGGGTACCTGGAAAGGGGGTAAGGGGTATGTGCAGGCAGGTGGGGATGGAGCACCACTCCCCTCTGTGGGCCACACAGGCACTGCCCAGCTGGCTGGACGCAGTGTGGGAGAAGCTCACAGGCAACGGCTGTGACTGCCATCCACCACCCCGTGCCATCATGTGTAAGCCCCAGCCTGCTCCATGTCCAGTCGTCACCCTCTCCCCCCCACCAGAAGGGGTACACTCCTTAAAAAAGGTTGAAAACCCCTGCTATATACAATGGGCACATTCTTTGACTATAATTTGTTCTCCTTTAAACAAGCTTTGTAAAAAAACTTTTAAAAGGTATTTGGTCAATAGTATTTCTTTCTTGGTAATGCCTAGAGACCGAGTCAAAGTCTAGCCCTCCAGGATGCTAATATATACCCAAGTATGCACCTTCTACACACCCCAGCATACCTCAGTATGCTGCACGGGCAGTATGACAATCTCTGCTCCAAAAGAGATTTTCAACCTGCATAAATTAAGCAGAAAGCCAGCATGAAGAAAGGGGTATTAACATCTTTTTCCCCCCATGTGGAACATGGTACATCTTTCAAGTATTTTGGCCAAGGTTACCCAAGAAGGCTTCAACCAACCTGGGCATAAAATACAGAACTCCTTAGACCTGGCCAATAACATAACAAAACACTATCTCCCTGTCACATGTTAATTTGTTACATTATTGTTACAGTAAATGTACATTATATCCTTACTACACTGGTTTTGTTTTAGAGCTGCTGTTGAAATAAATAAGAAAAAGCTTAGACTATGTAAGCGCCCTTTACAGGCTATGCCAAATATTGCCCTCATCTCACAGAAAGCTGAAGTCAAGCATCTTTGCTTTCACTTCTGTTTTAGCACACCATTGTCTATTGCACTTCATTTCAGTCTAATCTTAAAAAGTTTTACTGTTCATAAATCTTTATGTAGGTTTATGTTGCAAAGTCATTTTGATACCATTGCTATAATTTATGGGAAGCAGTGGGCTGGCCTTCCCCTCATGAAATGTACTGGGTACACTTTTTATGAAAGCATATTAAAAGGGGGCTCTGCTGGTCATGACCACAGCAGTTTAAGCTGTAAAACTGCTCCCATTTCACCACTATTTCATATGCCCATAACTTTCCCGAACATTTATCTTTTCTATTCTTGGGCTCTGCCTAAAGGGGATTTTAAGAAAGTGGAAGGAGTGACCATTTCAGCAAAACTCCTTCAGCTAATTTCAAATGAGGATAAAAATTCTTTTTAAAAAAATACTTCCCAACATCCCCAGATGGAAATAACTCAGACAAGTGAGCACACACTTCAGAATTATATGCGACAGAACACTCTGGCCCAAACTGAAAAAAAAATAGTCTCATAAACAAAAGTTATGAACATGAAAGAAGACAACTAAGAATACAAAGCAGAATACTCATCGTTACCTGCACCACCAGACTCCTGTCTTATGTACTTCTATGATCACAGTAGTGCATCTCACAATCTTTATCTTCACAGCATGCTTGCCAGGTTGAGAAGTATTACCCCTGTTTTCCAAATATGGATTTCCTTTCTACATATTAACATTTTCTATTATAGTAGGGAAATAAATCTCATATGGCCCCGCGGGCTAAATGACTGGTGCAGGACCAGTCCACGGACCAGATGAACGGTGTGCAGTTGACCCCACAGTCCAAATCAGGCCAATGTGCCCCCTCCCCACTGCCACATGCCAAATCAAATGCCCAAAGTGTTTGCTGCAGCCAGTTTGGGACTGCACTGCAGATGACACCCACTCTGACCAGATCAAGACATGAACCACAAGCGTTACCCACTCTCACTGGTCTGGGGTGTATGCCACATGTAAAATGGGTCCCAGACTTGCTGGAGCAGGCTCTGTGTGCAGCACATCTCAGACCAGCCAGAGTGGAGAACCCACAGACCACCTCCACATACCTGA